TGTGCACCATCCGGATATGCAGTGTTCAATTTTACCACTTCAACGATTGGATTAACTTCCTCCGACTGATCAGTGATCGGTCATTCAAAGAAAAATGATTGAATTGGTCGCTTAAATTGGGGGGAGGGGGAAATAGTCTTTGTGTCCATTGTAATACGTTGTCTGTTGTCTGTTGAAACGGATCTCGGAGAGAAGTATTTGAGTGACAGTTGTTTTTTTTTTTTTTAATTATACACTTCGGTGTGTGATGGACAACAGACCGGGTGGAACCACACAGTCGCGAAAATCAGTATTGTTAACCGGCAACCTTTGAAATTGTTTAGGTAAATCGAAGATAGCTGCTGCTATACGGCACAGAAATTTTATGGAAACAGGATAAAGATAGATTGTCGGTGTCCGAAAATCGCTGTTTACGCAGCACTGTACAAGATCTGGTGGAGCAGCCGGGAGAGCAAAGCTGAGGCTAGGCGTAGAGTTGTGGGTAATCGCGATGGACCACTGGAACACTTGGTTGACTCCGATAGACTACCGTGGTTGGAACACGTGTTACGCATGTAACTAACTCGTTTACCACTACCAGGCAGGTAGTGGGTGGAAAGAAGCCCAGGGTGATGAAACCTGGCACGAAAGTACGAAAACTCTAACCAGAAAACTTGATCATTTAGGTCCTGGTAGACGCTTCCTTACTTTACTTAACTGCGGCTGGCTCCTTGGAAAGGATTAGCCGGTACCAGACATGAGCATGAACTTCCTCGGGAGTTCGGTACGACATACGTCCCCAGCGTCACTCAGCGTTTTTTTTATTTTGAGGGCGCACCTCTAGCCTGTGCACAACCAAGTGCGAACTGTAAGACAGCAGGAAGTAATACCCCGCTGCTCGGAGCTGAGGGAGTCAATGAATTTAGTTTTTAAAGACCAGTCACATCGACCTTTGTCGCACCACCAATTCCGTTCAGTTCTTACAATCATTTACCATGCACTTTCGTGCGCCGGTTTTGGTTGCCCATTTGAATAAAAGAGCAGAATGATCATTAGAATGTCGAAAGCAGCTTCAGGTGGAAGATAGCACATTTTCATAGACCGAAGTTGCAAGAATGATGAGTAAATGCATGAGCACCACTGTTTGCGACACCCAACCATATGGATCAGTGTCTCTAACCACCGGTGACCATGATCTCTGGGTCCCAAGCCAGGGAGCCTAACGGGAGCCAGTCTCCTGGTCAGGGTTTTCATACCCTCATGCTAGGTCTTAGCTTGACTGCCCTTCATTTTTTCCAACCGCTACCTGCCTCGGCAAACATCGCTCGCCGCGCCACCGTCACTGAGCTTATGCAGCTTTTAAACAGGAGCCAGGTGACTGGTCTGAACCCACCACACCCTGGTAGTGCCGCCGCTGTTTGTTCGCGACTGCTTATTTGTTGCGGTATGCCACAACTTATTTGCAGTTAACCTTCTTCGGTGAAGGTATCCTCCTATCCACAACCCGGGGGCGCGCCTGGTAGCATTCAGCTTTGCTCAACCCGAAGGTATCCAGGTAGGCACCCTGGCTGGAGACCTCGGGCTGATCGTATCCGATGGTTAGAGACACTAAGCAATACGACTGAGTACCGTAAATGGTGGCGTCTTCCCAATTTCCATGCAACCTTAATCTACCAGAACTCTCCATTTTTTCTTTGACTCTACTTTCAACCTTCTTTGTCTTTAACCTGCTGCTTCACTCAAATGGGTAACCAAAAGACGACAGACGAAACCGGCACACGAAAGTGCATGATTACATGATTGCACGAAGTGAGACTGATCTTTTGCGCTTATGTTGTCCATGCATTTGGGGGTGTCGAAACTTATCATGATACCCTAACAGACAAGTACACATACGCACGCACACACACACACACACACACACAAACTTGAACAAATCACTCTTCGTCAGCCAGTGATTCTCAACTCAAGCACTGTATCCAAAACTTGGTTTTTCGGGGGAGGAGGAATCAGCGAAATAGGCAATGCCAATCGAAACAGTTGCCGTTGAAAATGGTTGTACAAACTAAAACTGACTATTAGACATTGCCTATAACCCCGAATACTTACCAGACTGTGCGAACTATCGATCCAGGTCGTCCAATGGGCACCACTTTTTTCTCGAACCAGTCGAGGCAGAAAGATTACCCGATCAACACTGGTTTTCCATATATTCCTATCGATCAATAAAATCCTCCTCTGGATGGATAACAACTATAAGAACAGTTACCGAACGCTACTTATTTTATCTGATGAATCGTTTGAGGAGTGAAACTCTCATAGTTATGAAGATCTATCATTCAGAGACCTTGGATAATAGTATACGAGCTTTGATAGCACAGGGTTGGTGCTACAGCGAATACATCTGAATATCGAAATTGGTTGACGGTGAGGAACAGTGAACTACGGATCAGTAGGCACCAAATATCGTCAAACCATTGACAATCTACAATCACCTGGATAGAACACTAATGTTGACCAAGTAGCTCCAGGCAATGATCGCTTATTGCACTTGTATTTAAAGAAGTTCGTCGTGTCTAGAGCATCTGAAAACAATGCACCTGAATCCGTTTCGATACGGTTGGGTCTCCGCTACAATGCGATTCCATCGACCAGACTGGGTATAGAACCTGGGCCCCTCACGTGTGGAACGCAAGGCCTCGACTTTGTTCAATGCGTGTGGAACGAGTGCGTATAGTTAGTTGACGAATAGATATTCACACATAATAAGTAGTATATGAATGACTAAACAAAATTTCCCTGGAAGCATACGACCGGCTTCACGATTCTATTCACGCGCCAGACACGCGTATCCGATTGTCTATTGTCATATACTTTTACCCACGATACGATAATCTTTAGAAAAAACTTACCATGAGTTGCATGTGTGCCAGGTTTCCCGGGTTAAAGCAGGTGAATTTGGTCTAACCATTAAGATACTACTTAGTATGAAAGATGTATATGTGGTTTGGTTGTGCTCGGCGTTGATCATAGTGGTCCAGTTTCTTTGCTTTGTTTAAAATGAATTCGGCAACGATCAGTGAAGTCCACTTCACCATTTTTCGCTGTATGATGATGATGAACTATGCAGCACAAATCACGAATCAGCGACTGAACTTATATTACGCAGCCCTGATTGGACTCAGTACTGATGACTCTCTATTTAGTAAGTGCAATGGTAAACATATACAGCGAACAACTATTTAGTGAATTCAATATACAAGGAAAACAATTGAAGATACAAAAGATTATCGAGATTAATTGGGATTGGACGCACAGTTCAGTTTACGGGAGAGAGAGAAAAATAAACAGACATTCATGTGTATCGTTTAAACACCCCAACGGTACCCAGATGATTGGTTTTGAGGAGGGGGGTTGGGAGGAGGAGACGGTCAAGCATAAAACATCCAAGCCGACATACTTGTTCGGCATAAATAATAAAAATCGACAAAGGATTTTTGTTTTTGTTCAGTGAAATAAACTGTATGTACATAAAGCAGAAGGGTTTACGCATAATTGGATATCGACAAATGCAGCAGTAGGAAAAGTAGCTAAAGCCATCAAAATGAGTCTTTGACCATCAAAAGCACACGAAAAATACCATAAATGATTACACCGATTAGCAGTGCGTTCAATAGACAAGTCAACTCATCTAGAACATCCTTCCACGTATCCAATCGACCGAAGAGAAACGATAAACAAAAACGCAGCAAACCCGCACGTTTGCGGTGACGACGATGACGCCGATGCCCAGAACGTGTTTTGCGTGCCCCGGTTGAGGCGGAACGAGTAGCACTGCGAGATGGGCTTGCACGAAGCTGGCTCACACTAGTAATAAGGCTGTCGTCATCACTACCGGATGCATCCGAAGCAATTTTACTCGATAGACGGGGTTCAGTCGTGAATGATGGAGTCCATGGTGTGTTTCTTGACTCGGGTGGCCATGTGAGCACAGATGGACGAAAGACAGGTCTCGACGGTGAAGAACCGGTTTCGGAAACTGCGGTCTGTGTCGCTTTTCTGGATAAATCTGAGAGTTCAGAAAATGGTGAAGATGACCGACATCCGGTGGATTTTGGAGAGAGCTGGCCGGATATACTGGTAGCACAACCACTCAGAGAAGTGCGCGAAATATAAGAACCGTTGCAATCGGGCCAGGCTTGAACAAGAGCTCGACGCTGCCCTCGCCAATCATTCGAACAGGAGCTCAACCAAACTTTCAAACCTGCCATGGCGCTAGCAGCAAGAAGCAAACCAAGGACTAGCAGAATAAGATAAATCGGCGGAGCGCGGCCATGGTACATTGGGTGAGATAAACCGGCATGGGCGAGAACATTTGGAATGACTGGAACGAGTGTGCCGAGAGCAAACAACGAAACAATTGCATCCATCAATAAAACGGAAACTTCAAAATGTGCTCGTGAGAGTTTGTGGGAAGATTTTGGCTTGTCATAGACACGCGTGATGATGAAGAACAGTTGAAGCACGAAGAGAAGCAAGCTGAAGGCGAAAATACCAGTGTCCGGTAATACGCATATGGTTGCATAATGAGAGAACTGGGGGCAGAGTGAAAACATAATTGGACGCAACGATTTAGGAGTCAGGAATAACGCAAATGCTCGGTCCGCGATGGACTGCTTTCGAGTCTCCCGTACCAGACATAACTGGTTCTCGAATTTGTTCAATACTGGTCCACAAATAAGAGCAAGAAAGCAAGATGTGGTAGCCGTGCGCATCAAAATGATCAACCACAGGGGAAGGGAAGATTGAGCAATCTTGTTGACCTTTTCGGCTTCAGGACGACTCACGTGGTCCGTGGGCATATTTCGTCGAACTTTGCGCCACCAGTCCAGAAACATGGGAAGAAGATGCGAGTCGACCTAAAAATATAATGACAGGTACGTTTGCACTTCAATTCTTCTTTCACTGATACACTAACGGTTAACTCAAGTGATTAACTCAAGCCCCGAAAAAGTAAGCTTGAAACGCTAAAAGGGAGAAACGTTTAAACCCAGATTAATACTAAACTATCTTATTGTAAAGGGTTAGTGATTCACCACTAGAAACACCACGAGTCAATATCCTGCTACGTTGCGCCCTTCAGGAATCCGAGAAAGTGAGTAAATTCCAGAAACTGTGATATAACATGTTATTCAGCAGTATATGCTTTCAAGCAGTTTGAAAAATCAGTTGGGATATTTGGGACAAATAAACAAGATACATGGAAATACCGTTAATTCCGTGACTACCTACAGCCCATTCAAAGCGGAATTTAAATAAACAATCTCACTGCGTCTTTATGCATGGAAGAAACTTAAACATTTTATAGTGCTCTGAGTATATAATTAGAACAGTGTATTCGGTATTCAGCACTTATTAAGTTTCAAGTTTTTGTTTACTCCTGAAATACTCACCTTTCCTTTGGGAAAGTTATTTAACTGAATCACTGAATTTTAGCTCTAAGTAGTGCCCCATTCGGTTGCAGTGATGCGGTGACCACCGAATTGAGTACATGGGGTTGACCCCTTAGTCTAAAACGGTTTTCTTTGAAATGACTTCACATAATTGGGGCACAATTGACGATTCACGTGATTCAGTGCTAAACTTACTGGGAAACCCGCATTCGAAATAAAGAACGTAATCGAAAAAGTGAAATATCTGTGTATACGCATTGCACTGCATTCTTTTTCAAATTTCAAGCTCTCACTTTTTGCTGTGGAATCTATTCTCACTTTTCTGATGAAAAATGTGTACCATAGTGTCCTTAGACACTCGCTCATTCCTTCGCTTGTTGTTGCTGTCGCACTTTAAAACCGATTGGTATATTCGTTGTGGATAGGGCTGATCGAAATCAAAGCCGCCGTTATTAGTCATGACCTCAGTCACTGATAAAGTTCAACGAATTATCCACGAAGTAGAAGTGCATCGCTCAAATACAGTAAAGGGCTAGACCGAGGTTACGATGACCTTTGGCCAGTTGCCTGTCTAATTTTGTCTGTTCTCCGGGAAGGACTACTGCAATCGCCGTTCAACCGTTCGCACAGGCGTGTCAATGCAACACCGGTTATTAATCTATTGAAACCCTAGCATCCTAGTCAAAATCCCGCTTACCAGCTGGGTCAATCGCGATTACCGGTCATCTATTTGCACAGCTAAGTTAGTGTGAGAGCCTATGGACCAAATACGTTTCAATCCTATCAGCAAGAGATATGTCTTATGATCGCAAACATAGTCATGATTTCGGTGACCACGGTAACAATGATCCCAAAAGCTGCATAAAAACACTCCAGCGTCCCCACAGTACTGCAAAAGAAACCTGTGTAGAGTACAAAGATGTATTAGTAACAAGATAATAAACCGTCGATTGTCTCAACTTGACTCTTCTAAATAGGCGATTTCTTCTCCAGAAAGAGCCACCAATAAATAAGTAATGAGTAAAATCCTTGATCCGATCGCATCTGGTGCCTGCACTACCATCTGATTCAATGTGGGTTTGAACCCAACTTTTATGAAACCGTTAACCAGTACATTCGGATGAACAGGTATCTAAGCTTGTTTCATCAGATGCATGATCACGAGAATGACCATCTCACTTTTCCGATGCACACCTTGGTGTGAAGAACAGCAGACGGGGTAATCCCCAGTCAAGACGACTTGCTGTTCAACCATGGAAGCCAGTAACCTAATCCCTGGGACTTAGACTGGCGAACCACATAAGCCCCAAACGTATTCCAGTAAATATTTCCGAGACTAAAATGCGAAAGACCTAATTGTATCCAGTTCAACTGACAGTAACACTAAAGAACAGCTTGAAGGCAGCTATGCTAATTTTACATTTGAGAATGCTGCAGCTTTGTCATGACAAGGGACGCATTCTGCAAATTCTAAAATAGAGCGTCATTGCATTGCAATTTTTCGGTTGATATCGAGCAGCCAACTTTGGAACTACGCAGCAGTGATAACTGTTAACAAGTCACGCTCGAACAGAAGCAGTACAGTGACTCCTCCTTGAATCTCTTGGCTCTAGTACCCCTTTATCTTTCCGGGAACTGCTTGTAATACAAGGCTGTTTCATCCTATTTGGAAATATCAGTCAGTATATCCATGGACCCACTGTTATAACCCAGCTCGAAATTCGTTCACTGCAACACGTGGAACTGTTCAGCTTCGCCAGTTTCTTACACTGTAGATCGAAAGCCGCATCTATCTGATCAAGAGCGAAACCAATCTTCGGGAGCCCGATGCATTTATTGTTTTAGTTCAATCACCTTCAACAAAGTGATTATGAAACAGCCCTATCCTCATGCGAGGACAGTGGCATCGATTAACTCCCAAGTGGCAGGCTGTCTGATCTAGAGTACGCAGACGACATTGTGCTACTAAGTGAAAATCCAGGTAAGTTGCAAGCATTTCTGGATAACTTGAATGCCAGTGTAGCCATATTCGGTGCGTTTTGCACCTTCAAAGTGTAAAATGTTAATACAAGACTGGGTCGGTCCAGCACCCAGCCTCACACTAACTGGGGAAGTAATAGAGCAGGTGGATAAGTTTTTTATTTGGGCAGCTATATCTCACCCGGTGGACGCATCACGGATGAAGTGTTAACTCGCATGCAGAAGGTTCGGTTGGCATTTGCCAACTTGAGACAGCTGTGGCGCCGTCGCGACATCCGGCTGTCTATGAAGGGTCGAGTGTATGCCGCGAAAGTTCGGCCAGTTCTGCCATAAACAGAAACTTGGTCATCAAGAAAACAGGATAAAGACAGATTGTTGGTGTTTGAACACCGCTGTCTACGCAGCATTGCACGAATCTGGTGGGGTAGCCGGATGAGCAACGCTGAGGTGAGGCGCAGTCTTGGGTATCCGCGGTCTCCCACTGGAGCAAGTGGTCGACCTGCATAGATTACGCTCGTTGGGACACGTGTTACGCATGTCACCAGATAGGTTGCCACGGCGAGCGATATTCGCCGAAGCAAACACCGAGTGGAAAAAAGCCAAGGGTGGTCAATCTAAGACCTGGCACAAGAGTATTAAAACCCTAACTAGGATACTGGGTCACATAGGTTTTGTTAGGCTCCCTGGCTGGGGACCTCGGGATGATCGTAACCGATGGTTAGAGACACTGAGTGATATGGTTGGGTGTCGTAAGCAGTGGCGTTCGTGCATCTCCTCAATTTCTTTGCAACCTTAGACCACTGAACTTTTCCATTTTCTGTCCAACTCCACTTTCAACTTTCCTTTCTTCTTCTATTCTTCATCCAAATGGGCAATCAAAAGACAGCAACCAAAATCGGCGCACCAATATGCGTGGTTAATGGTTGTACAAACTGAAACCTAACAAACCGTGGGGAACTCACTGCTTTTTCCTCATAGTGGAAAACTAACCTGTACTTTGCGTTAGTTCTTTAGTAGCATCTTTTCTGAAGTACACTAGAGCTGACTGATTCTCCGATAATCGTTCAACTGGATTCAACATTCTAAACAGTTTTCCTTGAAATACCAAGTGATTTTACCACATAACTCTGAGTTGCACCAAACTCATTCAACATCTCCAACGCATTCTACTGATAGACAGGCTATTGCACTGCCATGTCTTGGACTGCTGGCATCCGTGTGCCTCCCAAAGGTCATCCACCAACCTCGTATGTCAAACTAGGTGAAACATCTTTGGCTGAAAACGACGTTGCATGTTGGTTGGTCAATGGTCAGCCCGTAGGTCGGTGAGTGACCAAGTGGATATTAGGAAGGGCGGTATACTCGGGACGTGTTACGTGTACGGTTTGTTTGTGGTTACTAAAGTGGGGACAAGCAAATGTGACTTCTCACGGGTGCAGCACAAGAGACTGACTGTGAAGCTTATTGTATCGTGACTTGTTTGGCAAAGCCCGGCTTCAGACTCGTGAAATATAGGAATAAACAGTAGTGATAGGTACCATCCGTCTTCATACCCACTTTCAGTGCTCAAAAATAATGTGCAAATATTCAAGCCCCAATAACCAGATTGTTGATAGATGACCCGTCATGAAACAGTTGAACAAATGTTGATGGATTATTAACGAATTTAGGTCAAACACATACAAAGTGCGGAACTACTGAGTACTATAACAACTTTCTCCTCTCATACGAAAATCGGTTGATTGCATTGCGTTGTTACGGCCGAATTAGGATGTACTGAAAAAAGCTTGTTCACCACTAGTGTTCTCATCACTCAAGTATACAGCTCAAGAATGGGCATACTATCAGAGAGCCGAAAACAAGGATATTACCTGAAGAATACGAGAAGTTGCTTTCTCCTGACATTCCCGACAAAGGGAGTAAATACATTCCAGTTTACGAGTGTAGTTTCGAAGTTCCGACTGCCATTGTTTTTCATTTTTCGGCTCGAAAGATGCAATCTTTTTTATCAAGATAGCCTGATTTACAGCGCATCGATCGCAAAAAACATTTGATTGAGAGCTGAATTGTTTATGAATCTGAACGAACATAAATAAGTTATGTGCGCAATACCTGGTAAGAACGAGAGTTCAGACTAGCGTCATACTGCGCCGGGATGCGAATATTGTAACCTCCATCTGAGTCGAATCCATTATATTGATCACATGATGGGCATGTGAAGGAATTTGCCAGTGTCCTCGGTACTTCGAGATGATACCCGCAAAACCAACACTCAACCGACTTGACAGTTCTCTTTGAGAGAAACGCCATGCATTTTATGAGCAGAACGATCAGTATGGTGGCACTGACACCCGCTACAGCACTGAATACCGTCGGTCTACTGAAAAAACCTAACGCATAAGCCATCAGCATGCCGTGGCGCAAATCTTCAACGAAGCGCTGCTCGAAGGTCAGTTCAGTTCAGTTCAGTTCGGTTCCAGGACGTTGACGGCGGTGTGCCAGTTAGT